ACTTGCCATAGTTTGCTGTGGTCCACACAGTCAAAGGCTTTTGCATAGTCAATGAAGCAGAAGTAGATTTTTTTTGGAACTCTCCGGCTTTCTCCATAATCCAGCGCAGGTTAGCAATTTGGTCTCTGGTTCCTCTGCCCCTTCAGAATCCAGCTTGTACTTCTGGGAGTTCTCGGTCCACATACTGCTGTAGGATTTTGAGCATAACCTTGCTAGCGTGTGAAATGAGTGCAATTGTATGGTAGTTGGAGCATTCTTTGGCACTGCCTTTCTTTGGGATTGGGATGTAGACTGATCTTTTCCAATCCTCTGGCCACTGTTTAGTTTTCCAAACTTGCTGGCATATTGAATGTAGCACCTTAACAGCATCATCTTTTAAGATTTTAAATAGTTCAACTGGAATGTCATCACCTCCACTGGCCTTATTGTTAGCCAGGCTTTCTAAGGCCCCCTTGACTTCACTCTCCAGGATGTCCAGCTCAAGGTCAGCAACTACATTGTCTGGGTTGTCCGGGATATCCAACTCTTTCTGATATAATTCCTCTATGTATTCTTGCCACCTCTTCTTGATGTCTTCTGCTTCTGTTAGGTCCCTCCCATTTTTGTCCTTTATCATGTTCATAAGATTCATACCAACTGAATTAATTAACTTCTTAATTAAATTTAATTTATATACTGTCTCATTGTGAAATGGGCAATTCTAGGGGGGTTACAATATAATAAAATAAACAAACATAGAACAATAAACTTATAAACAGTCGAAGAAATACAAACAAATGGCTTCAAAAGGCATCTGTGTGACAGCGGGAGATGGAGCATGAAGTCAAGCAGGGCCATTGTGGAAAGTCACCAATGACAGTGTAAATAGGTGATAGGATTTTGGCCTCCAAGTCTTACAGAGATGTGGAGGAGATGAAAGGTGGCCAGAAAAAATAATTTGGGGAAGCAAAAAGGATGGCGAAGGTCATTCCAGGAGGAGAGCAGGGATTCAGTCCAGCCACACCAGTCCAATGATGGAGATCAGAACTGCGGCCAGCTCCTAGCAAAATAGCTTTCCTAGCAGTGATAAAGATGGTATCGTTGAAGGGCATTTTTGACCATCCTATTACTGCTTCTCTGCTACGGCCCCTACATTTTTCCCAATTACCTTTTCCCAGTAAAAGTGGCTACAAACTCAAGAAGTGTGTGAAGGAAATGTTATCTTTCAATGACACAAGTGACTGCTGCATGAGGCAACCCACTTATTACTATCAAGGGAGGAAGAAACTCAAAGAAAGATACCATCATGGCAGAAATTAAGAATTCTCTTGAGAACTTCTGTCTGTGAAACAATCTGAATTACCCTTTTCAAATATGCTTAATGATATTTAATTTAGACGTAATAGCATACATGTAGGAAACTACTTTGCATATTGATAATGAAACAGTTTCCAGATCAGACGTCAACAAAACTGGCAAACAATTCAATGAACCTTAAAATGATCACATGTAATTAGTATGGTTCACAATAACAAGATTAATAATTTTAAACAAGGGACACCCTTCTTTAGAAAAGGCTGGATAAAATTAGCCCAGTATGGTGCTCAGTGTTTTGTAATACTTCTCCCGAAATGCCAAAGATGTGAGCTAATTTGGAGAAGGAAGGACTGCTTAGGAGTCAATTACTACTCAATTAACCCTAAGAGATCTTATTAGCCAAATTAATTTCTCTTTGGCAAACTACTGCCTTTGCTATTCACTCAGGTTTTCTTCCAGCTGGCTTTCACTTAATTCAGCCCTGAGATATGTATCTTGTTGTTTTGCTTTTATTATCTTGTCGTTTATATCAGAGACTTCCTGTAGATCTTCCTTCTGTTCTTCTAAAGGTTTCTTCATGCCTGCTTGAACAGGTGGTGATGGTGGAAAAGGGAACACAGAGGAATCCAAAAGGACCACGTTGTGGCGGGATGTGCCAGAGTAAAAGCCAGGGTGGATGCCATAGCCTTTATTTACTTAATAAATGGCTGAATACAAGTGCTCATGCTTATTAAGAAAACAGGACCATTAGTTATCAGCAAAGTACTCACTGCTAAAAATAATCACAGATGAAGAGTTTAACAGCTATAAAAAGGACTGCAGCATCAGTATTGTACCTTCCACTGTAGTAGGTAACATGGCAACTATTGCTCCTGATGTGCATCCCTTTTGAATCCTATAACTGCCCCTTCTTCCCAGTCTGCTGTGTGAAACACCAGAAGGCTCACTACTACTTACAATTGGTAAGTAACAAACATCACAACTAAGAAGAACCAGAAAACCCACAGTTGCAACATTGAAGGATTCACAGAACATGGAACTATGACCAAGTGGTCACATCTGGACCAGCCTCCTTCAAACTATGAGGCTTATGCCCTCAACAGCCTGAGATGTGGCAGGATAATAACCATTCCTTGCCTGTGTCACTCCCTCTCTCTCCTTGCACACCTATCTCACTCTCCTCCAAGCTCATTCACTTCTATACTTTCTCTTATTTTCTCCTGGTCTCCCCTTCCTGCATACAGGGGTATAGTAATAAATTTGGAAGTGCAAGTGCTCAGCAGGACGGTCTCCACAGCCAACTCTCCAGCCATAAGGGAATTCCAAAAGCACATCCAGCCAGATCAGTCCACATCAACAAATGATGAGCATGCTTTTTTGTAAAGCTAATGGCTCTTAAGGTTCAAAACAATCCTCAAATACTTTGCATTACAACAGGGACAGCATGCAACAATGTGCTACTTCTGAGGAAGTCAATTTCTCAGCAACTGTGAGGAAGATAGTGTGAGCATTGGCATAGCATGGGGGGGCAGCACTCGGGGCAAGGCAAGTATTGAAGGAACATGATAGCTCCGTGATGCAATACATGGGCAAGGGGTGGAGGAAGCCCCTGGGGTGGTGCCACAAAGCGGTCACGGAGCTACTTGAGGTCCATGCTGGCAGAGGTGGTGGGCCCAGCACCCCTGGTGGCTCAGATCTGGAGTGTTGGGAGGGGGGAGAGGAATGTGTGGAGCGGAATGTGGCCCGCACAGCCCTAAGATTTTAATAACCCCCACACTATGTTACTGCTTTGCACCCCCTAAGTGTTTTGTGCCTGGGGCAACTGCCCTTGCGTCCCCCCACGCTACACCACTGATGGTGAGAACTGCAACTAGACAACGCAGACGTTTGAAGGGTATGGCAGTTGATGTCATTGACCCTGCCACTCAAAAAGTCTTAGGTTTCAAATCTACAAGCCCTGACTCCAATACATCACTGCCCACTACTCTGCCTCCTTCCCTGTTGCCTGCTGTCCCCACAGAACCAGTCAGGCCTCGAATGCCAAGAGCACAGGCAGTCTCTCAAGGCAACCCTTGAGTTGGCTCCAGACTATCTAGTGGTGGAAAGGGTCCTAATAGGGTTAGAGAACAGCATGTTTTACTACTCAGGCACTCCATCACACAAAGTGGAACCACATATACACAGAACTGATCATCCATAATGTATACAACATAAATGTCAGGAATTAGATCCATTTATTTTTGTTCCCCAAAATTTCACTGAGGCCAGGTATTTTAGAATTTACATATTCTCTGAGAGAAAGTACCGGAGTAATCTCAGGAGTGCACAAACTCTCATGCAACCCATTATTTTCAGACATGTTATTATTCCTATTTGACATGTTGTAACATCTTTTTATACAAAACTGTTCTACAGATCAGTAAGTAGTCATGTTGGAAATAAATAGTTCTCAAATGAATTTTTTTGTGGAATTATTTCACAGTTCCCCCACTATTCCTGGATAGGAGATTCCTCTTTCTTTCACTGTTTGTATGGCAGCTAACTGGAGAGCAAGATCTTGCCCTTACCAATAACTGGATGAATGGGCCTCACCGCTTATTTTAATTCCCTTGACTGGTCTTCTAACCACCTCACGACTGACCATAGTGTTTAATTGTAGACAAACATTTGTCCTGCTGTTTGGTGCATTACGGGGGCAGACTGGTTTGTGTCAAATGTCATATCACTGTATCACCCCCCAGACCTCAAGTGACCCTTTTTGGACTGCATCCATCCACACTAAAAGGGCCAGTAAGCCTGAGTATACCAGCTTCTGGGAGTCCTGAAAGAAGAAAGGGTTCAGCACTGAAACAGAGCATTTTGCAAAACAACCAGAGAGAAGAGAGTGGTGCTCTTTTTTATTTCTCCAGAGTCACGCTGGTTTCACAGGCTCTATAGGAACTAGGGTTTCTTCCTTATGGCATGACGGATGAAGTGTCTCCAAACACATGTCCACTTGTATTTTTAATAGGATGCATAATGACAACAGACTGGGAAATTACTCCCCTCGGAGGAGTTTGAGCACATAATTCACATGCACCAGCGATTCTGCCAGTTATAAAACACCTTCCAATATTGATTGAGACAAAACACCATTTAGGAAATGTGTAATTAAACAAAGCCTAGCAAAGCCACATCTCAGAAAGGAAGTATTTGTAACAACTGAAAGAACAGTTAAAAATGAATCCAAGAATAGCTGAGTGAACACGAACACAAATACACATAAGACAAGTCTGAATTACAACAGAAGAGCAGGATAAAAGTGCTGCTGCTGCTGCAACTACTATTACAACTGTAATACTTCTCCACTAAGTTAAAGGAAAGGGGTGACAAGGAATAAGGAAGGTATTCATACAAAGCTATATATTTGCTCTCTAAATATTTGCATCCTGGCAGATAAATGACCAATTCATACATTAATTTTTGAAGGCAGAAAAAAAAATAAGTAAAATCGCACAATCACAGATGAAAAGGCAATTATTTCCAGCCACCCCTATGCCCCCAAAGAAGCAGGAAACTCACTGCTGAATCACCCCTGACAGATGGTCACCCAACCTCTGTTTAAAACCTTGCAGTGAAATAGGATCCACCAACCTGCTTTTTGCTGCTTCTTAACCAAGGGCCATTTCCTCTTTGTCTTGCACTACCTCCCTCTGTTCAGAGCTCCCTCTCCTGGTTCAGGAGTTGAATAGGGTCTCTTGAGGTCCATATGCCATGTCCATGTGAAAATCACACCTCTCTCTGACCCCAAGTGACCTTATTTAGCTTGCACCTGCCCACTATAAAAAAGCTCATCTGATCACACCTTAAATTGGAGGGAAGAAAGGCTTTTTGGTTCATGGTATTGTTAAACCACTGAATGTCAGGGAAGTCTTACTTGGGCATAAGTAAGGTAGAGAAATGCATGTAAGAGGCAACCATTTCCTACACCTCAATATCCCTTGCTTGCTCCTTCCTCCTCCCAGTCTTGGCAAACACTTCCAAAGGTTCTATTAATGTCCACTTCAATGTGAGCAGAACCATTCCCATGACTACAGAACCTATTTCTAAGAGTGCCCAATCGCCCAGGCCTGGATGAATGTCAACAGAAGTCCACTTCAGAGCTCTTTCCTCCCCACTGGGAAACAACAGGGATGCTGGGGGGGGGGCGTAGCCGAGGCACACAGCCCCACGCCCCTTGAATGCATCTGCATAATATCCAAATAGGGCTCTTGCCTCTCAACTGCAAGTCGTTCAGTGGTGTGGTAGGTCCCACTCTTGCAGCAGAGTCTGCTGCAGGAATATGTCCGATGATCGGAGGAAAACTTTCTTGCATCAAAAGGAAAATGTATGCATTAACTTTGATTCATTAACCGAGTTCAAATACTTTTATATAAATTATACTGCCCATTGGTGGTCACTAATAATTCTTGAACAAAATTATGTCTTGCAGGATATAAGTTGCCTTGATTCCTTTTGCTGGAAGAAAGATGGGCTAGAAATCAAGTACTGTAAGTGGGTAAATGAATGAATGCATAAATATTAATTAATTAATTAAAATAGCAGTCCCAAACAATTTTTAGGGTTAGTATTTTTTTTATCTATTCCTAGGTTTAGCAGCAATTTCAGTTGTCTGAGAAATGACTCTCTGTATAGACCAAATAGCATATCTGTACACAAGATGTAGGGTGTGGTGGGTTAAACCGCAAAGCCTCTGGGCTGCAAGGTCAAAAGATCAGCAGTTCAAATCTATGGGACAGAGTGAGCTCCCGTTGCTTGTCTCAGCTCCTTCCAACCTAGCAGTTTGAAAGTATATAAAAATGCAAGTAGATAAATAGGTACCACCGCGGTGGGAAGGTAATGGCGTTCCGTGACTAGTCACTCTGGCCACATGACCATGGAAACTGTCTACTGACAAGCACTGGTTCCATGGCTTAGAAATGGGGATGAGCACCGCACCCTAGAGTCGGACACAACTGGACAAATTGTCAAGGGGAACCTTTACCTTTTTTACACAGGAGGTGGGCTATCAATTTGTTTGAGGAGACATGAAGAAAAACCATTTTCCTTTTGGGGAGAGGGACAGTGAATAGTTAGAAACACAGAACCCAAAAAGGTGTGACATTGCTTAGTCACTACAGAATACCAACAGGGGTGAAAGAGATATAAAATCAAACAGGAGGGAGAATAGAAAAGAAAGCGGTACAGGAGAAGGTGGCCGACTGACTGGAACACTGAACAGGAGCACTTCACACTGCAACATTTTGTTACAGGTATCACTTGCCACATATTATATCCACTAATCGAGAAAATACTATTTCTCATGTCCTGTGATGATCTCGGCAAGTCTACACTTAAATATCACCAGTAGTTTTATTGTCATTAGCCACAGCATTAATTCTTCTTTTTCTTGTACACTTTGTAATTGTAAATGTCATATCCACAAGAGCCCCATAAAAACTGCTACTAGTGGTTCTGTTTTACAACCAGTCAAGAGACTAGTAATATATATCCATTTAGCATTTTTATGTACATTCCTTTGGAATCTGAATGTCAAATAAGAGTCGCTAAATACAGCTAAAGGATCCCTGATGATAGTTCATAGCAAGATACATGCCTTGGTTGGCTGAAGACTATGACATTTGGATGAAAACTAAAACCTGAATTTGTGGGATTTAATCAAATTATATATTTGAGATAACCAGTTTATAATCAGAAGGCTCATGATGCTGCCAGACAGATCACTACACATCAAAAGATATTACACAGCTCTTCCATCTTGGAGGATCCCAAGTGAGGATAATCTGGATATTCACGGTGGAAGGAGGGAAGCACCCTAAGTTTCTAACAAACAAAGCAAGCACAGTAGCAGCCATTGAATTCAGAGAAATTACGTACTTGATGTCATCAATTTTAAGTAGGGTGCTTTTAAGACAGCAGCTGCCGAGGTGTATCAGGAAGACCAGTCAATAGTATCCAGGGTTGCCACAAACATTTCCTCTCAGAATAGAGGCAATGTGCTCCAAGAATACAGGGAAAAAAATGCTGCCTGAAGATTTATCTGCTACCTGCCTCTTTCCTGATACATAACATTATCCCAGATAAGCTGGTTTTAGATTATGACTCCAGTGTGTGTGTGTGTGTATTGGAGAGAGAGAGAGAGTAGTAATACTTACAGCTGATAGTAATCCCCAGCTCCACACCTCTTTTCTTAGGTAACTTCACATGAAAAGTACCACTGCTAGGAATGACAGATTCTACAAAACAAAGAAATCAAATTGGTCACAGGAATCACATAGAGAAGATGCACTTTTGCTTTGCTAGCTTGTGCTCCAAAGTTCCCACATACTCCCCCCCTGAAGATTTATGAAAACAAACTATGACCATTCAATGTATAAGTGCAACTTTATGGATTTTAGCTCACATGTAAAGATGCCTGATGCAGAGGCCATAATGTCTGTGAACCTCTTCCTACTGAGTGTTATCCTGGTTTTGCACTTTTTTCTTTAACCGTAATCACTACTGTAGTTGTTCCAGGTAATTGCTTTATCCTATCAATAATATGACATTATTTGCATATCTTCACCGCAGTAAATATGACTGTCACCCCCTTTCCCAAATTCATCTCCTGTTAAACAAAACCTCATGTTCTGACTTTAATTAATGAACTAACAACATCTATTAAATATTATAAAAATGTAAAAATGACATCATTTCAGTGCAGTGACCAGCAATATAGAATGGCTACAATTCACAACTGCAATTATAACTAGCACCTGCTCATAATTGTTGCATAGATCTCTGATGTGCAGGTATATATGTGACACCTGTCTATGAATTAGCTGTATATAAGTGAAGATTCAGTGTGGCTTTATGCCAGGAGAAAGAAAGAAAGGGAGTGAGTGAGTGAGTTCATAACTAACTTTATTCCAGGGAGAAACTGTGGATGAATTATTTTTCTCCCCTTCAAAGGGGAAATTTAACAGGTTTTAGGGTTTGGCAGATTCTAAAACAGAGAGAAAATCCAGATACAATGGATTTAGAAATGTTCAGCCTAGCTGCATTTTTATTTTATTTTTTCATGTTTACAACTTTGGAAGCAGATGCCTGGCAATTATTTGACAACCACAGTTAACATGGAGTGGCAAACAAGTTGAGAGAATGTGGATAAGGGAAATGCAGCATGGCAAGTCACAGTGCCAAACAGAATGGGTGAGACAATACATTTGCCAGGTTAAAGCTTTACTGTACTAGCTACTTTCATTTTATTGTTATGAGCAGATGGGACTTTATGGTGGATGACCAGTTGTCTCCCCATAATCACAACCAGGTTGTAGAAGTATTAGGAGAGGGGACACAGCTCAATGGCAAAGCATATGCCTTATTATTGAGCTAAGTCCCCTCTGGTAATGCGGTTCTGTCACAGTTACTTCTTTCTAATTGGTGTCTTTGAGCTTTCACTAGACTGTCCAAAGTGTACGTTGAAATGCTGGGGGAAAGCCACTGACTCTAGCTTCACAAATATACATGGAATTGCCAAGAAATTCTGGAAATCAAAGCCCTGAAAAAAAGTGGAATTGGAGATTATAGCTAAATAATAATTTCCATACCTGCCACATCAAATTCAATCTCCAGCACAACCTTGTTAGTAAGAGCTGCATCCCGCAAAAGCTGATTGGCTTCTTCCATTGTCCCATCTTCTGTTGCAATGCTGTTGATGGAAAGCACTCTGTCTCCAACTTGAAGGAGGCCACACCTGCAGTTCAAAATGATGAAGAGGAGGGGACAGATCAGGAATGGTGAGCACCTAAACACGATGACATTCCTTCTCCAAATAAGTCTTTCCTTAGCAAAGTGGTGGAAAGGGTGGGGGCAGACCAGCTTCAGACGCTTCTGGATGAAACCAATGCCCTGGACCCATTTCAGTCGGGCTTCAAGAAGCACTATGGTACGGAAACAGCACTGGCCGCACTGGCTGGAGGACCTGTTGAGGGAGGCCGATGGGGGCAATATGTCCTTCTTGGTCCTCCTTGACATCTCAGCCACCTTCGACCACGGTATCCTCCTGGGGAGGCTCTCTGAGCAGGGAACCAGTGGCCTGGTGCTTGCCTGGCTCTGATCCTTCTTGGAGGACTGTCCCCAGAGAGTACAGCTTGGCGAGAATGTTTCAGCCCCATGGAGCCTCAATTGTGGGGTTCTGCAGGGGTCGATCATCTCTCTAATGCTGTTTAGTATCTACATGATGCCGCTGGGTAGGGTCATCAGGGGGTGTGGGGCATCATGTCATCAGTATGCTGATGACACTCAGCTCTACATCTCCTTCTCATCTACTTCTATGGATGCCGTTCCGTCCCTCCAGCGCTGCCTGGAGACTGTACTGAAATGGATGCAGTTGAATGGGTTCAGGCTGAACCCGGACAAGAGGGAGATCTTGAGGGTGGGCAATCCTTCCATCAGCAGTTTGGGTGATTCCCTTTCTTTTGGGGGGATGACCCTCACCGCAAAGAGCGCGGTTCGCAGCTTGGGGATACATCTGGACCCGGCGTTTACCATGGAAACCATGTGGCCCGTTCCGCCTATTTTCATCTATGGCGGATTGCCCAGCTGTGACCATATCTTGATGGGGGGCCCTCACTACTCTTGTCCATGCACTTGTAATCTTGAGGTTAGACCATTGTAACACACTCTACGTGGGGCTGCCTTTGAGATTGCTGCCGAAACTCCAAATGGTGCAAAATGCAGCAGCCAGGCTTCTTAGTGGGGTGAGAAAATATCAGCATATCTCCCCCACCCTGGCTGTTTTGCACTGGTTGCCCATTTGTTTCCGCATTGATTTCAAAGTATTAATGATGACGTATAAAGCCCTAAATGGTTTGGGACCTCGATACCTGGCAGATCACCTTCTCCCACCCAGGTCTACCCAAATCTCTCAACCAAGCCAGCAGGGAGAGCTGAGAGGCCTTACACTGAGAGAGGCCTGGAAGGAAAGAACAAGAAACCGGGCCTTCTCGGCAGTGGCCCCTCAGTTATGGAATACCCTCCCAACGGAAATCCATCTGGCTACCTCACTAGGCATTTTGAAAAGCCATTTAAAAACTTGGGTCTTTAGGCAGGCCTTCCCTCCAGTCAATTAACTGATTTTCTGTTTCTTTAACTATCCCATCTTAACAATGTATATAGACATTAGTTAGTAGGTTTTTTATTATGTATGCTATATTATTGTGTTTTATTATTCATGTAAGCTGCCCTGAGTAGACTTTGTCTAGGGGGGGCTGGGTATAAGTTCAATAAAAGTAAAGTCAATCAGAGGAGCAATATTGGTGGACAACCCAGATTAATAGTGTACAGTTCTGAGGCACTGAAAGTGATAGCAAAATCCATGCATAGTAGCATATGATCATGCCAACAAGTTCTATGAAATGTCCAGGTAAGTTCATTAGTAATAATTCTTATGAAAATGGTTTTAATTTTAAATAAAATATCTTTCTTCTACCTACAAAAAGCCTTCACAATCAGGGATGCATGACAGGTTGAGAAATTGATCGCCATCTTTTCTTTGATACCATGTCTAATGCCACAGAAGTCACATTAGCCATGCCGGAGCCCAACTGATGTACAGCTTAATAATGCTACAAAGCCCTTATTATAAGAGTGAGATTCCAAGATTCAACTCAGTGGGTTCACTTCAGTGTCTCAGAAAACCGAGTAATCACTTATCCCTTGTAATTTCCCTTTCTGAAGACAAACACGCGAGTGCTGCTTAACACTGCTGAAAAGCCTATATTATTATAAACCATGCTCCCAATATAGTCTTGACTGGCACTTGCTACAAAGCAACAACCTCCATGGGTCCTATGCCTTGCAATGGATGGAACTAAAGAAAGGAAAACACACTCAGTGCTACAAAGAAGCAAGGAGAAGCAACAGAGATTCAAGTAATCCTAGCAGAAAGAGCTGGCCAAGAAGGATCAGAATATGGTGTGCAGTAATAATCTAGGGACAAAGAGCAGAAAAGATACGTACAGGACAACTTGAAAGGAAACAAATGTTTACAACAGTTAGCTTGGGGAGGCTTCTCCATGCAGCCATGAGAAGCCATAATCCCAGGCACGGAGAATGAGGACATCTCTCTTGCCCCTTGATCCTCCAGCCATGATCCAAAGTGTGTGTGTGGGAACTATTTCCAGATTTTGCCTGAAAAGTCTGCAATACCTAAGATTTACTCTACCACATCATAACTTTCCAGGATCTATGTTGGGTAGAGTGGGCGGCATATAAATTAGGGATCTATGCTGGAAAAAAAAGGCAGGTACCCATTTGTTGCATGACAAGATATATTTTCTCAAAGAGGTGTTTAAAGAGGCAGGTACCCATTTGTTGCACGACAACAAGATATATTTTCTCAAAGAGGTGTTTATTACAGTAGTGGATATTACCACCTTTCCCACCCTGGTTCAAATATTATGCAAACTCATATTTTGACTAGAAAGGTATGCCCCTCCAATTGACTTCCTGATGTCCACTGAGGGTGAATGAGTGCTGCTGAGTAGAAAATGGTTAATGTTGTTGTTGAAGAAGATGATGAAAAAGAAGGAGTAAAGTCTACGCTTGCTTGTTCAATTGAGTGATTACAGGCCAACTGTTTCCCCTTCATGTGTTTACACTAAACATTACAGATTGTGAGCAAAACTAAACATTCACCCCTTTTTTTTGGTAAACTTGTCCCTGTTCAATTCTTATTCTGAATGGCTACAGTTGTGTTTCTGGTAGCTGCTCCTCAGTCAATGTAAGCTATTTCTGAAGCATCCTTATGTGAGTAGGGAATATCCATTGTGTTAACTTTTTAAAAATTCCCTCTCATCTGAACTTTTCTAGGCTGTATTTCATCATCACGCCTCCTTCTGCCTTTGCTGCCTGAGGCAGTTATTTCACTCTGCCTGACAGCAGTGCACACAGAGCCAAAGGAGCTTGTTACCACAAAGCAAAGAAATTGCTTGTTAACTTTTGTATTTTTTTAAAAAAAGAAAAGTAACATTTATTAAAACAAAGCATAAGATGAGCTTGCACAATAGCAGGTCATAGTAGAGAAGGAGGGTGAGGGGAGGCCAGGAGATTTGCAGCCTTACTGATGTATTTTGCTGTTCATGAGTCAGTTTCATGGGTGTAGGTAGGGAGGCTAGGCAGTATGTGAATCATTTAGAAGGGAGGGAGGGAGCTCAGGAAAGTTAAATTTCAAAAGGCTTCATGAAAACACTACACTTTGGTCTGGTAGTTCAAATGGCTGCAAAGAGAAGTATTGTTTTCCATGGCGTGGACATTTAATCCATCCTATTGTGAACTCTGATCAAGCATATTTTATATTTCTTTAATGCGTGGGGCAAAACTTGTTTCTGTGGGGCAAGCAGAACAAATGACAGGCACATAAGAGTACGTGGATGAAATCCAAGTCCTATCTGGTCTGCCAATCTTTTCCCACAGTAGTCAAAGGATGCCTGAGGTTCTTGTCCACATGGAGAAGAGGAAGATGGAGGCTTACAGATGCACCATTCCACCTGCATGGAGGATGGATCTGTACCTATTTTTTAAACTTCTATAAATCTGTTGTCTTAGAATGCATACGGCTGAGAATATCCTTCTCTTGATTTGCAGGGGAGGGGAGAAAGAGGTTATTTACTATTTCTTTTTCTGCCTTTGGCAGCTCAAGATCATCCCTGAAAGCCATTTTACTCTTTACAAATGCTCTACACCCTAACTATTATTATTATTTTATTAATTATTATTATTATTATTATTATTATTATTATTATTATTATTATTATTATTATTATTATTATTATTATTATTATTATTATTATTATTATTATTATTATTATTATTATTATTATTATTATTATTATTATTATTATTATTATTATTATTATTATTATTATTATTATTATTATTATTATTATTATTATTATTATTATTATTATTATTATTATTATTATTATTATTATTATTATTATTATTATTATTATTATTATTATTATTATTATTATTATTATTATTATTATTATTATTATTATTATTATTATTATTATTAACAACAACAACAACAACAACAACAACAACAACAACAACAACAATAATAATAATAATAATAATAATAAAA